TCGTTCATTCATTCGTTCGTTTGTTCGTTCGTTCATTCGATCATTCATTCATTTATTCATTCGATAATTTATTAGCATCTGCTGAATTTCTGTTCCTCTAATTACTTTCGTCTTTCCATTTTTTTATTGTATTTTTTTATCAATGTTTATGTATCACAGTTAGATAAGCCTCTCTCTCTCTCTCTCTCTCTCTCTCTCTCTCTCTCTCTCTTTAGAACATTTTTTTCTTTCTCTCTCACAACTTCTTCTTCTTTTTTCCTCTTTCTCTCAATTTCTTTTTTCGTCGTACTTTTTTTATTATTCATTTGAATAAGAGTTAATAAAATCTTTTATCTAGTGCATATTTTACAAATTTCAAATTCTTTCATGTACTCATCACTCATACATCCATCCATCCATCCATCCATCCACCCATCCATCCACCCATCCATCCACCCATCCATCCACCCACCCATCCATTCACCCATCCATCCATCCACCCATCCATCCACCCATCCATCCACCCATCCATCCACCCACCCATCCATCCACCCATCCATCCGTCTATCCATTCAGTCATTCTTTCATTCGTTCATCTGGTTCATTCCCTCATTCCAAACAGTTTCCACTCCACAGCAGTTTTGGGGTGGAGTTCCGACCAATTGTCGACAACGACCTGATGTTCGAGCACCCCAGGGAGGCCATCATTGCCGGGAGGTACCATAAGGTCCCCTTCTACACTGGAGTTGTTGAGAATGAATTCAGTTAGTGTGGGATTTTTTATGTTTGTTCAGTGAATATGTTTCTTATTTAGGTAAGGTTTTTTTCTCTTTTTCCTTCTCTCTCTCTCTCTCTCTCCCTTTTTCTCACTCTCTCTCTTTCTTTCTTCCTTTTACTTTCTCTCTTTCTTTCTCTCTTTTACTTTCTCTCTTCTATGTAACGTTCTATATTTTTGGGGATTAAATTTTATTTTATTTATTTTAATCAAAAATAGATTATCTATGAAAAGTTGTAAATATTAAATCATTGGCCAATCATATTTTCAATGTTTAATAATCCATCCAATCGGCATTAACTGATAAATCCCAAACAAAAGCCCAACTAATCAACATCCGTCATTAAGTTTTTAAGCCAACCATCAAACCATCTCAACCAATCACATTCAACCATCAAACTATCTCAACCAATCACATTCAACCATCAAACTATCTCAACCAATCATATTCAACCATCAAACTATCTTCAACCAATCACATTCAACCATCAAAAACGCCTCAACCAACGACAGCTTATTTTATAAACGACATGTCAAGAGCCGACCATATAGACAACCTTCACCTCAATATCGAATTGTTTCTCAATCATTCTTTCAACTGCAAATCCAACAAAAGACACTCAATAGTTAAGATCGTCAAATATAATTACATCGATTGGGTTGAAACTGAAAAAGTCAGCGCTAGACAAAGTTCTGGAGATTTATCCGTTCAGTATGATTATGGCGGGGTTAGTTTTTTTCAAGTTCTTTTCTTATTTTGATGACGAAACTTCGTTTTATAATTTACTTAAAAATCGTGATAAATATTGATATTGAATAAAAAAAAACAACACACCAGCCATCCAACCAACCAACCAACTAACTATCCAACCAATCAACCATCTAACCAACCATCCAACCAACCAACCAACCAACCATCCAACCAACCATCCAACAGTTAATAAACGACATTCAAATGATATCACCAACTCTCCTGATCGCCGACCTAATGAGCCAGACCAACAAGTATGTCTATTATTGGTTCTTCAGGCATCCAAACAGCTGTCACATGTTCGAGTTGAACTACTTATTCGGCGTACCCTTCGGAAATGAGCCGGTCGACGAGTACCGAGAGAATAAAAACTGGAACGAGAGTACAATTGAAGATAGGATGCTGTCTGAAAAGATTATTAAACTATGGGTGTCCATTGCCGGGACTAGGTGAGTTTGATCAATCAATCATTCATTCGTTCGCTCGTTCGTTCGTTCGTTCTTTCATTCATTTAATCGATTAATCGTTTAATAATTTTTGATTAATTAATAAAACACACTTAACAAAATTTCAAAATTTAAACCTTCAAATTCTAAAAAAAAAAAATTTCTTCGGCCGGTTGACTAGTTTGTTGTTCATCGATCCATCGACCAATCGACCTTTCAACTAAAAAATCCATCGTCTGATCAATCCTTCAATTATATTTTTTTCAAAATTGATCCATCAACTAACTAACCAATTGATGCGTTCTTCCGAACAAACAGCAAACCAGGTCCAATTGACGGCCTAATCTGGCCTGAGTACAACACAAGTACCCAGCACTACATTACAATCTCCGCTGAGCCAACATCGATAAACCAACACTTCCAACTAAAAACCAACAACTTTTGGAACGTCTACCTACCGGAGATGTTCCAAGACATCTGTGAGAATTCACTTTACGAAGGAGTTAGCAACCGGACTAGTTCATTTTTCGATTTCTCCATCGCGAATCCACAGAACACTGTCGAGGATAACTGCAAAAATGGTAGGAGTGATGGCGGATGTGACGGAAGAAGTGGTAATGGTAGGTCTGCTCTGGTGTTATGTTACGTAGCTCTTCCGTGTTTGGTTCTTCTATCTATCATATTAGCGTTTGTAGTTCTCAAGTTCAAGAGGAAAAACGCTAAGTTGATACGTACAATCAAACACTTTCCTACCAGCAGAGCTGTATGAATGAAAATTGTGGGTTGTTTATTTGGTTGGTTGGTTGGTTTGCTGATTGGATGATTGGCCTATTTTTTGATTGGTTGGTTGGCTTTTTGATTGGTTGATTGGTTGGTTGAATGATTAATTGGTTGGTTCAATGGCTGGTTGATTAGTCGGTTAGATATATCACTGAATCGTGTTTATTGGCTGGTTTACTGTCTAGTTAATTGTATGATAGATCGAATGAATGAATGAATGAATGAATGATAGATCGAATGAATGAATGAATGAACGAACAAATGAATGAATAGTTAAATGATTAGATTCGTCAAAAGCATTCTGAGACAAGACTGATAGTTTGACAAAGGGAATAATTACATTGAGGTAGATGCTGTTTAAACGGTCGGTATCTACTTGTTAATTTTACTACCTTTTTTAACATGATTCGATACATAGAATAGTGTGTGTGTGTGTGTGTGTGTGTATGTGTCTGTCTGTGTGTCCGTGTGTATATATATATATAATAATAATTTTAATAATTATAATTTAAAATTATGAATAACATTATGTGAAATTGTAAGCAGCATTTTATTTCACTGTGGTGATGATAGTTTATAAAAATCATTTTCACATCTAGCTGCTTAGGCTCTCTCTCTTTCTCTCTCTCTTTTTCCCTCACTATACATAAACAATTATTTGATGCTATAATTTTTATCTTTGTTATTATTTGTATTATCAACAACCTCTTTTTTTTTATTACCAATGGTGTCATATTTTTTAATATGTATGTCTCATACCAGGACCGAATAGTTATAATTATACTAAATATAATTAGAGTAATAATAAATAATAATAATAATAATAACATAATTATTATTATTATTGTTAACAATAAAAATATTACATTTTTTATTCTAGTTAAATTCATTAAAAAGTTTCATTTGTTGTTCTCAAATGATTGGAAGGTGATAATAAGATTGAGAGCAAATTTTCATAGTTTAAGTCGTTGTCATCATCATCGTCGTCATCATCATCATCGTCATCATCATCATCGTCGTCACAATTATTTTTATATTACCAAATTCCCAGACATTTTGAAACACATGTACTAAGGGTGACGTAGAAGAAGTTTTATAATTTTTTTTCTAGAGAAAATAATTTTCTTTCGTCAAAACGATCATCATCATCACTCTCATCATGATCATCAGCAGCAGCAGCATCTTTATCATCATCATCTTCTTCAACATCATCACCATCAGCGTTACCATCAACATCACCATCACAATCATCTTAATGGCCGATGTCTTAATCACCAATTTTAGAGTCACCTTTATCATCATCATCATCACCAGAACCATCACCATCATCATCATCACCACCATCATTGTTTCGGGCCATCTTCCATCCTCCTCCTCCTCCTTCTTATTACCCCATCACCATCTTCAACAATCAAATCGCTCTCAGATATCGAATTCGTTTTCACCAATTTATCGCCAGCCGTGGTTGCTGCTGTAGAAGCTGCCTCAGTGGCTGCTGCGTCTGTTTGAGCGGCTGAGTCTGTCGTTTCGACGATTTCAAAGTTCGTTCCGATTGGTATTGCTACTGAGGCCTCAGATCCTGATGATGATGATGATGACGATGATGATGGTGATGACGATGATGGTGATGATGACGATGATGGGTGAGAGAGATAGCGATGAAGAA